AGAAGTTGCTAGCAACATGTTGCCTAGTGTATGGAGGGCTTTAGGCTCCATGGCTTTGGCAGGAGATGCTGTTTCCTCCATTTATTGATTAAGATTTGATGAGCCACACCTACTTCATTGCCTCTTTTAATTTAGTATTTCAAAAAGAGTTGGAGTGAAAGGAAAGAACCAAAAAAGTGGAACATCACATAAATACAAGATTTTAAAATAGAAAATAATATCAGCTAAAAATTAAAGTCATCAAGTTCAAAATCATTAGTTCTAACTCTTTTCACAGACCGTTCAAACTGAAGTGCACCCTCCAGAGCTGTTGTCCATTTTTCCCTCAAGAGATTAGCAGCAAATTCTATTGGTCCCCCAACACTAGACAGAGCCTCTAGATACTTCACACAATGCTTCTCTAGGTCAGACTTAGAGTCCAATAGATTTATCATAGATAGAAAACAGGTGGATATGGCATCATAAGTTGGTGATTTCTGAACTTCCTGGGGAATTATATGAACCTCAAACAGTTTGTTAGCAACATGGACCAGAGAAAACTGGAGGAGTCCAGCAAAATCAGTGTGATTCTCAATCATAACTTGTTTGATCTTTTGTTTAGCTGTTTTAATATCAAAACCTATAATATCAATAGTCAATAGCTAGTCATAACATGTACAGCGATTTTCCTTAAACTAGCATGATAGGCAAGCTGAAATCATGCTCTGTTGTGGTCAGGAATAAAATGAATGCACCTACTTAATACTGACCACAACAGAGCATGTGCATAACACATTTCTGCTTGCCTATCATGCTAGTTTAAGGAAAATCACTGTACATGTACCTCCTTCTCTTCTTTTAGTTTGTACTACAATAGTTTTGTCATTGCCACTACTGCTAGGAGGATGATCTAAAGAATAAACATCATAAAGTAAACACATACATATACATGTATATACAGTAATACTTACTAGCTCCTCCAATAGATGATACTGGCATTGATTTATGTACTACATTAGAGGAGGAGGAGGTAGGATCTGATTAACATTAAATGAAAAACAATTGAAATGATTTATTTATTACTTGTTGAAGAAGGAACAGGAACAGTGTAATTTCTCCGTGCTCTATGAATGTTTAATGAAACTGGATGAGCCACACCTTCCAGTGGTATGAAGTAATTAAGAAAAGGGACAGCATCAGGTGATCCGTAAACTGATATGAGACAACGTGAAGGACGAGAATGCTGTTTATCACCAAATTTATCAACAGCCTCTTGATACAACTATATAACAGAATATGATTTAGTGTTATAAAATAACAATTAGCTTACTCTGCAAGGATCAGTGTGAGGAGTAAGTGTCCATCCAGTGAAAGGTTTCTTTTGAGGTGCAGTAAAGTTTAATTCAATGTAATCATAAGGAAGCTTGAAACTAAAGGAAATATCTGGTCCAATCTTAGCTTCAGAGTGTTTCCGCTCAATATACTATCAAATAATATAATAAACACATTGTGTATATAAGAACACATTTTTACATGAATGAGTGCTTCCAAATTCCTAGCAGCAGTGAATGTCACCAAATCCTCTACACCATCTTCTTCATAATAAACCAGACCAGCATATGTTACAGCCTTCCTTACACCAGTGGACTGCACTTCTAATAAATAAATAAACACAATATTATTAGTAATAGGAGAGCGTGTGCATGTACTTACTGTTAACATGATCAGTGTTTGGTGTAGTAGCAGGACCAGCAACAGACACTGTATTGGTTGGAAGGTTTGTCTCTTTAGTAATAGACTCTATTCAGTAGTGGAATACATTACATTATCATCAATAGACTCACTAACCTTTACATGCTCCACTAGCCCCTGGTGGAGTACTGCTGGTATCATCATCATCACTGTCACTACCCTCTCCTTCTCCCTCCTCCTCCTCCTCATTCTCCTCTTGTTGTGGTTGCTGTTCCTCAGCTCCTTCCTCTGTGTCTCCATTAGTCCATTCTTCCCCCAGTATACAAACCAAACAAAACTTATTACGCTGAATGGATCCATATCCACTATTAGACATAAACTCTCCTCCCCCGACTGTTGAGAATCGGTAAGGAAGACTGGGTGTGCTCACGGGAGCTATAGCAAACTTTAAGTATTGTGCAAGATCTGGTCGTCCTGTTAAATCAATGCAGTGCTGTATCTCTAACTTGAGTCGTTTGAGGAGAGGCTTTGAGAGTGATACTGCATACACAGCACTCACTAGGACAGTATTAGGAGGAAACTCGAACTGTCCTCCTACAAGAGCAACCACTGCTGCTTCTACTGTCTCAGAGGACAATAGGCTTCCTTCTTGTACTCCAATCCTTAGACCATATTTCTCCCAATTCATCAGTTGAGGTTTGTCTCCTTGAATTAAGAACAGCTTCTTCTCTGCTACCTGGACATCACTCAGACATTCCAAATTATCTATCAATTGTATATAATATACACTCAGTCAGTATAATACTCTTACCCATTAAAGGGATCATGTAATCAAATTGCACTTCTTGGGTACTAGTCCCTTTGGTTTGACTCCATTGCTCCTTCTCCTTCATTAGTTTGGCAGTATGCCTCTCTTTATCAGTAACTTGAGCTTTAAGTTCTAAATATTGTCTCATAATACATATGCACGCATGACAATACCTTTAGTAATTTGTTTTTCCATGAGGTATTGTTTCTCTACTTTACTTTTTTCTTCCTCTACTTGTTTCTTCTCTTCCTTTAATTCAGTAACTTCATTTTTCAGACATTCCAAATTATCTATCAATTGTATATAATATACACTCAGTCAGTATAATACTCTTACCCATTGAAGGGATCATGTAATCAAATTGCACTTCTTTGGTACTAGTCTCTTTGGTTTGACTCCATTGCTCCTTCTCCTTCATTAGTTTGGCAGTATACCTCTCTTTATCAGTAACTTGAGCTTTAAGTTCTAAATATTGTCTCATAATACATATG